CTAGCTAAGTGCGAGAAAGGAAGCTATTAGGAAATGAGTTATGAAAAACTGTTGGTTATTACGATAAGGTTCCGATAGCGCATTGATATTTCATGGCGCAGGTTATGTAAACTAATTAGCAAAAAGTTGCTCAAGATGGCCACAAATATAAACTATATAACTACAAACTTATAAGCTCAATACTACCTAAGATCAGCTTACCGATTTTCGCTTTTGACTACTTTCCAATTGTGTCCTTTCTCGAGGGCTTGGCAAAGTTTGGCGTCTTTCCATTCAACCTTATCAGCACGGGTATTTCCTGGCATTAGCCTTCGATTCGAACATTGCATCGGCCTTGGATTGGAGCAAATACCCACTCCTCCTTTGAGGACAATCGAACCCCCCATCAATTTCCGGCAACAAAGACAGAACCTAAAAAAGCTTAAAGGCAACCGCATGGCAGACCAGCCCCACCCCGCTCTTGACCCTGAGTCGTCGGAAAATGGCAGTTTCGTGGGAGGAAGTGGGTGGAAGTGGGTGGCAGTGGCAGCGGATCCCGCAGACAAATGGAAAATTCCCAGACGTCATGCCAGCCCGCAAGGCACAGCATGCACCTGCAGCCTGGCATCGATTTAACAAGTCCATATAACAGCATGGGCGACAAAGAAAATCCACTCGGTCCGCGGGTAATTACATACCCCAAAGGAGCGGGAATTGGGCAAAAACTGGATGTTAACTCAATTAAACAAAACGTATTGCATACATTAGGGCGCTGCAGCGATGTCGTCTATGAGTCGGCGGATCGCGTGCGCTCCTCGCATTTCGTTTAGCAATGCAAATTGGACTAAGTTGTGGCTTCCTTGACCCGCCTCCAGTCGATTTGTCAACAAACCCGGATTTCTGACGAGTTAACCCATTTTTCAATGGGTAACGCATTCTACGGAGGCGGTATTTCTGATGCACGCCAATTTGCGACATTAACTGTTGATGTTAAGTGCTTGATAAATACTTTCGCAATTAAATAGGCCCATTTGCTGGGATTGCTTTCTTCTTTATATTGTTATTTCATTGTTATTTAGAAAAAACCTCCAACGAGTTCAATCAATATCTTAAAAATACTTTCATACCTTGGTAGTTTAAGATTAAATTCAGAATTAGAAGAGTCTTGAAATATTCCACTGTAAATTTGAATTGTTTCACGTTAAAAAAATATTACCTATATTTGTCGCAGGGTTCCCGGGGATCGGTTTACTGCGCGAGTGAACCGGACCCAACTGGTGGAGTCCAGTACGAGTCGGGAGGGCGCCTTCTCCACACGAATACGGCTGAGGGCTCCGGCGGAGGGGCGGGCGTGGACGGGTCCGGTGGCGGAGTTGGTCTCGAATGCGGCTCCCTGTTCTCGGTGGTATCAGCGCCGCCGGCTCCACTGCCCGACATCGTTGTGCCCACCGAGCTGGATGGCAAGCGCATGGAGTCCGCCGCCTTTCGATCCGGATGCTGTTCACCCAACGCCTCGCCCATGCGACGACCCGCCACCCTCAGCCTGGACACGCAATGCTGCCCGAGGACCCTGCACGCCAGCCTGCTGGAGCATCAGATCTCCGAGCTGGAAGAGGACGACAACGAGAACCTGCTGACCGTGTCCAGCATCACGGCGCGTCCGTTGATTGCCAAATCGCACGAACTTCGCAGCAGCCGCAAGTCAGGTTCGGGTTCCGGATCGGGTTTGAATACGGCCCGGAGCAGGTGCGTCCGCCGGGCCAAGGAGCGCGAGCGGGATCGCGTGACCGTCGCTAGGCGGAGCAAGCCGGTGGTCAAGGATCGGGACTCCTCCACGACCACAACGGAGAGTGGTGGTCCAAATGTTGAGCCACCGGACGGCGGTTACGGTTGGTTCATCGTCTTCGGGGCCTTCTCCGTGCAATTCTGGGTGGCCGGGCTGGTCAAGTCGTACGGCGTGCTGTATGTGGAGATTATGGAGACCTTTCCCAGCTCTACGGCCACTGTGGCCTCCTGGATTCCAGCGATCCTGTCTGCACTCTGTTTGGTCCTGGCGCCCCTGTCGAGTGCTCTTTGTCAGCGATTCTCCTGTCGAACGGTGGTCTTTGTGGGCGGCATCTTCTGCGCAATGGGCATGATACTGAGCTACTTTGCCACCAGTCTGCTGCACCTCCTTCTAACTTTTGGCGTACTCACAGGTGCATAATGTATAATCACTATAAATCTATCCTTATCACATTAGTATTGGTAAAAATGATGGTGATATTAAACTTTTTCTTCACCTTCAGGTATAGGTGGTGGCCTCTCGACTACTCCGGGCATAGTGATAGTGTCGCAATACTTTGATAAGCACCGTGCATTGGCCAATGGAATCTGCGTATCGGGCACTGCCGCCGGCAGCTTCATCCTACCCGTGCTGATAAAGCACCTGGCCGAGAACTGTGGCTTCCACGGCACCATTCTGATCTTGGGCGGCTGCATGCTTCACGTGTGCGTCTCTGCCACCCTTTATCGCCCAATCAGCGCATACACGGATCAGGAGTCGGGACAGGGACAGGAGGAGACGGCAAAGCCCCTCAACGAGGACATCAATCCGAGCACCACGGGCATCCTGACCACATCCACATACCTAGACACCTGCGAAGTGGGTGCGGGCCATGAGCTGAGCGACAAGTTTATCGAGCATCTGTTCCTGGAGGAGTCCAAGAACCACCTAAACTACTATGCCAGTAAGCAGCCAGGTGGGTAGATATTTCTTTAATGAAAATTACAAATAATAAATACCATTTGGGTCCTTAGCCCAGGACAAGTCAGCGCAGGAGAGCGACGACGAGGTGAAGGATATTATCGGCGAGACCACATTCATCAAGCCCATGAAGAAGGTGCGCAGTTCCGGATTGCTGCACTCCGTCGAAGATCTCAGCACGGATTCCACTTGGGTATATCGCAAACACTCCGGTACGGACTCCAATCGAGGAAGTCGTCGTCGGCGCAATGTCTTTGCCAACGACGAGGTGATATCCAAGATCCAAGCGCACTTGGAGAAGCCTCTTTCGCCGCCGAGTGTGGTCAGTCGCGGACTCAGCAAGAGCATGGAGATACCCACTCCGGTGAGCAACCTCAGTGATCTCAAGCAGCAGCCGGTGGAGCAGGCGGAGCTCGGCATTCTCGACTCCCAGCTGGTGGAGTCCATCATCGAAGGCGAATGTCACCTTGCTGCCGATGAGGATGACGACGACGACGAAGAGCAGGGACCACGCACTTGCTGCGAGCGCATCGAGATGTACCTGGACATCAGTCTTCTGCAGGACCCGAGCTTTATCCTGATGTGCCTCTCCGTCACCTTGATGTCCGTCGGCTGTCCCTATATGCTGTACTACCTGCCCGCCCACGTTATTTCAATAGGTATACTCATTGAAGCTTTCAAGACTGTGTTTAAATTAATCTTAAATTTCGTTCACCTTTAGGTTACAATAAGAGTGAGGCGGGATATCTGGTGGCCATCAGCGCGGTCCTGGATTTGATTGGGCGCCTTGGACTCGGCTGGCTGTGCGACCTGCAGCTATTCGATCGCAAGAAGACCTACACCTTGTGGTGAGTAACAGTAAATATATCTTTTTAATTTTTCGATTCAGACTAAGGGGTTTTTCCTATATCAACAGCATTTTGGGCGCCGGATGTGCCGTGCTCACGATTCCCTTCGCCAAGACCCTGGTTTTAGTGGGTCTTTCGGCCGCTGTCTACGGACTGTGCCTGGGTAGCTGGTATGTCCTTATGCCGGTGCTCCTTGCGGACGTCTTTGGAACGGACAGGATCAGTTCGAGCTACGGGCTGGTGAGGATGTTCCAGAGCATCGGGGCCATTTCGGTGCCGCCTCTGGCAGGACTGATGCGGGATCTTTCTGGGGACTACGAGATATGCTTCTACTGCATGGGATCCTGCATGGTGCTCGGGACCACTCCGCTGATCGTGTGGTCCATCCTGGAGGCACGCAACCACCGGTTGTTTGTTCAGCGTGAGGAGGAGGACTGCGAGGAGGCCTAGGAATGTTTCGGATTCGTTGGTTGCCCCACATGTTAATAGAGTTTTAGTAGCGATCAAATACTAGTTGAGTTCCTGAGTTTCAGAGTTCGAATGCCTCACCGATATTGCTGATTCTACCAGTTACTATTAATACTATCCGTACGTTCTCATCCGTATCTAATCAAATCCAATCCATGCCCCCCACTCGCACCCAATCGCTTGTTATCCTTCCGTTGAGCAACAGCAAAAGGATGTGTGAGATGATATTCAGACGAAGAAACCAAACAAACAACCAACCAACAACTGAGCACCAAATGTTGCGCAAAAAGAACTGAGTTTAAAAGACATGAACTACAAATACCCGTATATAACTTTATAATATGATAACTACGATCAATGCCCGACTAGATGGTTATATAGGCCGACTATAGTTGTAGGTTCGCACATCCATATCGGAACGGACTAACTTTGTGCAGGAAATATCAAGTGGCTTTAGACAGAAAGGAGGCTTGAATTGAGAACATCACATTGCATTACCCTAGAATTAAAATAGTTGTTGTGAGACATTTACCCATAAAGACAATTACCGAATAAACACAAAAGCAAAAGGTTAACCGAGTTTTGTGGACTACAAGGGAAAAACATCGTTTGGTGCTAATATTTTGTTAAAATTTCCGGGAAAATGTTTTAAATATTTAAAAAAAAACAGGCGGAAAACAGGTATTTAACTTTAAATTGGTAAAAAGAACGGATTCTTAAACATTTACAAAATTTTCATAAGGCAGGGTCAATCCTGCGCCACTAAAAATAGTTGATGCGAAAATAAGTTAAGCAAGCACAATATATTCAAACGAATTGAATACCTACCAAATACGCTAAACAACAAAAATGTAACGCTTTACCCGTAAAACAAGCCTTTCGTTTTAAGTCACCTGTGTGAATAGGCTGTTATACCGCTGTCGATAAAGTGAGAATGATATAGTAGAATCGATAGCAAAGAAAAATATCGATTCCGTTCCATCACTACTAAATCGACGGTCACTTCGTTTTTCGCGTCTCGAGAGCCGCTGAGTGCAAACTTTGCAAAAAATTTAACATATATTGTATACTTCGCACCGCTCCACATAAATTGTACCACTGCTTGACAAGGATCAACTGCGAAAATGGATCTCAGCGGTCCACAAATTCTGAGCAACATACTTCAGCCAGAGGAGTTGAAACTCGTGCCTGAAGACATCGGGAAGAAATTGTCGGCGTACATTAACAATTTTTCAGATGAGTACTGCAAGAACCGAGCGGCCGCCAATCGGTTGGGTAAGTGTCCTTAGCCTTTATTTGTATATATATTGTGCTCTACAGTTCGCATATAACTTCAATATGCATACGTTTTCCAATCTTCGGCATTTGCCGGCTCAGATCGCACTAATTGTACATCTGTACTTTTAGTTGGCAATCGCAAATGTCGATTCTCATGCTTGATAAACAGTCTTGAGGCATTTATATAGTTTGTATAGACATTTTCAGCTTGCTTGAGGCTCTTGAAAAACAATGGCTGCTCGCGCAAACCTTTTTTCCTTTTTAATTTCCACCTGCCGCCGGGGTGGTAACACTGGGCGTACATTTTCCCACCAAAACAGTTTATAAGCCGAAATTTTAAAATCTCTAGGGATTTGTGGGGCACTTCCGATATGTAACCTTGGCTCTAAATATCGGAAAACATACAGCGTCATACAACTGACAACTGCTCCCAAAAGTCAATCAATTTGAAGATTAATTCAGTTTTGATTTTATAAGGAAATAAAAGCCCTTTTCAGTTGCATTTATTTTGCATTTATTCGCATTGAATAAAATTAAATACTTTTTGGTTAATTATATCCAGTCGAATAGAATATTAATATTTTCGCCTTTTCACAGCCGAAACTGAGCAAAAAAACGAAGAGCTGGAGAACAAAATGGAGGACTATCTAGCCAAATTTAACAATTTTGAGTTAAATGTAACCGAGCTGCGCACCCAGCTAGATCAGGTATCCTCGGAACGAGTTCACCTCGTGGACACGATCGCTAGCTACGAGCAGAATGTAACTCAGTTGCGCAAGGAGAAGGTCTCAGCAGTTGAGGAACGAGATTCGCTGATGAAGGTAATCGAGCGCCAACAGGCGGAGCTGGAGCGCTTGAAGCAGGATCTGCACACCTACCAGCAGCAGCTAAGCAACGCGATTTCCGCCAAATGCGAAGCCATTGCTCGCGTGGACGAGATTCAGAGCAAGGAAGTGGCTCTGGAGCTCAAGGAGAGCCGCATGGAGAGCGAGCGCGATATGCTGCACAAGGAGATTTCGTTAATCAGCGGAGATCTCAGCAGAACCAACGCCGAGTTGCAGAACATCCGGCGGGAGCACTCACTAAACACCATGCAGCTAGAGTCACGCCTTAATGAAAAGACCGATTCCCTACATCTGATGCAGGAGCAGTATGAACAGGCCGTCAAGACCATCGAGGAATTATACCGTAAGGTTGAATCCCAAAACGACGTCACCTACAAGCAGAACCAGGCCACGGAAGAGTATGTGCAGATACTGAAAAAAGAGCTTGATGCCAAGGAGAAGCTGATTGAAATCTTCAAGAGCACCGAATCGGATCATATGGTCCAGCAGGAGGAACTCTTGCAAGGCATCTCGGAAATGAAGCGTATACTAGAGGAGGCTGAGAAGCAGTGTGCCCAGTTGGAGGAGCAAATGGAAACCCTGAAGCAGAAGCACACAGCTGAGTTGGAGGAGCAAAATCAGAAGATTCAGAATATGCAACGGGAGCTAGCCAGTGCCAACGACTTGCTGAAAGAGGCCCAAGCAAGTAATTTAGAAAGCGCCATATGTAAGTTGGCCCCCAGTGCGGCCGTGGCCAGTCGCCTTATGCGCTGCGATCTGTCGCTTACAGAACTTTACTCCATGTACGCCAAAAACAGCGAAGAACTGGAGATGCGCAACCGTGAAATTGAGCAGTTGAAGCTGCAGGTCAAGGCGATCCTTGCTGAGATCTCAGAGACTGCCCCGATTTTGGAAAAACAGAACTCCGATTACCATAAAATAAAGGAGACCAACAGTGAGCTCTTGCGGCAGCATGAAGAATTATTAGAACAGAAGATCAACATTGAGCACGAATTGGACAGGACCATAACCACCCTTAGTCACACCCAAAAGGAGAATAAGAAACTGAAACAGACGCACAGCGATCTCAGCCGACAGGTGTGCATGCTGCTGGACGAATTAAACTGCATTAGGGCTGGAGTGAATCCAGTACGTAACCAACCAACTCGTCAGGCAACCACCAGCGAAAGTGTAATCAACGATAACTTGGTAACTTTCAGTTCTATTGAAGAGTTGGTGGAAAGAAATTCATACCTCCTCAAAATGTCCAGGGACCTCGCAGAAATGTTAGAGGCTAGCGAACAGAACCAAGACAAGTTCTTGCTGGAGCAGTCTGAGAAGAAGATAACTAAGCTCAATGCGCGTTTTGTGGAAATGGAAGAACTATTAACGCAAAAGAACAATACGGTTACTACATTGCTATCCAAGTGCGAACGCTACAAGAAGTTCTACTTCGCGGCTCAAGAGAAGCTTGGTCAGAAGACTGTGGATCTGGACGACTCCAATCTGGAGCTTAACGACTCTGTACTTGAAACTTCAACGCAGTCGGCAGCCAAGGTTGAGGAGAACAGCAAACTGGAAAAGAGGCTGCAACAGCTGGAGCAGCAGTTAGAAGAGGAGGTCAAGAAGTACGCATCCCTGAAAGAGAACTACGACTATTACACTAGCGAAAAGCGTAAAAACGACGCACTGGCCCAAGAACAGTTCGACTCTATGCGTAAGGAAGTGCGGGAGTTAACCAGCTGCAACTGCAAGCTGATGAACGCCACTGAGTTCCAGAAAGAGCAAATCGAACTACTTCACAAAAATATAGGCACCTACAAGCAGCAGGTGGCTACATTGGAAGAGCGTACCAAGAACTACGAGAAGACCATTATTAAACACGAGCAAACCGTACATTTGCTCAAGGATGAAGTTATGGCCGCCCACCGTAAGCACGCAGAGGCCGATTCAGAGGCTCACAGCCTACGTCAAGAGAACCGCATTCTCAGGGACACTTCTGCTCGACTGCAGATCGAGAAGGAGACTTATCACCGGGAGCAACAGAGTCAGTCACTGCTTCTAAACAGTTTGGAATTCATCAAGACGAACCTTGAGCGATCTGAGATGGAGGGCCGTCAGCGTTTAGAGCAGCGCTTAGATGACACTGTGCGGGAAATGGCTGCTCAGCGTCGTCACTTCCAGGAGGAGGAGGAGAAGTTCCGGGAATCAATTAACGAGTTTAAGCGGCAGGCGGAGACGGCCATCAAGTTAAAAGATGAAGAGAAGCAACAGGCAGAGAAGTGGCAAGCGGAGCTAATCAGTGTCCGCGAAGAACTTGCTCAGAAGGTCAACCAAGTCAATGAATTAAGCAAAAAACTTCAGGAAAGCCTGACACCCTCACTAAATGAGAATCCCATCACTGCAGCAAATAAACGAGCCCGGGAGTTCGAGCTTAAGCTCGACCAGGCCACGGTGGAGATCGAGTCACTCACTAAGGAGCTGGCAAAGGCTCGTGAGCATGGTGAGCAGTTCTACAAGATGTCGCAAAGTTCCGAAAGTGAGATTAAGCGTCTGCACGATCTTCACGCCGAGTTGGTGGCCAAGCAGGAGGAGGAAATAAAGAAGCTTCAAAGTTCAGAGGCTGAACTAAAGACCCGTATAAGCGATTTGGAAGCGGAGGCCATGTTGTCCAATGTTACCGAGCAGAGCAAGACTGTCAACCAGTCGGGTCAGTTGAAGTCAGCCCAGGAGGAACTAAAGAGCTTGCTGGAGAAGCTTACGGAAGCTAATAGCAACATTCGAACGCTGCGTACCGAAAACACCAACCTAGCTGAATCTCTTAGTGCTGTGGAGGTGAAGTATGCTAACGGAATGGTACAACATTCTGCGGATATTCAGGAGCTAACCCGTTACAAGGCCGAATTCTTCAAAGCCAACGACGAACTCAGCCAATTAAAGTCCGGTCGGGAATCATTGCAAGCCGCTTACGATGAACTTCTGCGTTCGAATGCCGAGGCTCAAAAGCTGCTGGATAAGGAGAGGGAGGAGTCAGATAAGCGAGTGGCTGATTTGCATGCATTGAACGCCCATTTGCATGATCAAATCGAAGCACTGGCTTCGAAGCTGGCTGTTCTGGCCAGCCATAGCCAAAACCCGAACTCTTCCTTGAATGACTCTGCAATGGATGCAGATCAGAGCCTGAATGCTTCTGGACTTGCCGCTGGCGAAGAGGGAAGGAACAACGAACAGCTACTAAAGATCATAAAGTTTTTGCGCAAGGAGAAGGATCTGTTCGCTGCCAAGCTGGACATTCTCAAGGCGGAAAATGCTCGTCTGATTTCGGAGCACGCCATTCAACAAAAGAAGGTTGACGAACTGAACGGCTATCTAAACCAAGAGCGCGCAAAGAGCCAGACAGACGTGGTGTCGGCCAACAAACACGAGGAGGTGCTACGCAAGATTGAAACTCTGAATGCCATCACCGACAGCAACCGCATTTTGCGAGAGGAGCGTAATGCTTTAACTCTTCGCGTCGCCGAGCTCACCGATCGTATCAGCAGCGTGGAAAAGGAACTGTTCCCGCTGCAGTGCAGCAACAAGGAACTGACATCTAAGATCGAGGAGATTAATGTGGAGAACACCTCGCTCCGCACCGAGGCAATCAAGTGGCGACAGCGTGCCAATGCACTGGTGGAGAAGAGCAATCGCAACCCTGAGGAGTTCAAGCGTCTTCAGGCTGAGCGCGAGCACCTGGCTAAGTTACTAACCACCGAGAAAGAGATAAACAAGAAGCAATCGGATGAGCTGGCTGTGCTGAAGCAGCGTATGGATACAGAGATCCCAACGCTAAACAAACACGTCCAACTTCTCGACGAGGCGCGCAAGAAGCAAGTTGACGAATTCACTAATCTCAAGCAAAATAACACGCGCCAGACGCAGGATATCATGGAATTGAAGAATCGACTACTGCAGAAGGAAGAAGAGCTGTTAAAGGCCAACGAGGAGTTGGAGACGAAGGACAAGACCATAGCGGATAAGGACACCAAGGAACTGCAGCTTCGTAAACTTGCCAAACGCTACAAGGACTTCTATATGGGTCTTCAAGCTCAAGGCGGTGGAGCCGAGTCCGTAGCGGAACTTGAGAAGGTTCGCAGCGAGCTGGAGGAGGTTAATAATCAACTACGGGCGCTGAAAGATGAGCACGAAAAGATTACCAAAGAGTGTGATGAGCTGAAGAAGCGCACAGAACCAGAGACGGATGCCAATGCCGTTCGACAGGATTATAAGGCCAAGTTGGACAAACTAGTAGTGGACCTTACCGTGGCTCGTACTGAATTAGCCAACCAGGAGACTACTTTTGCCGGCACCAAATCCTCATACGACGAGACAATTGGCCGTTTAGAGAAAGAGCTGCAGGAGAACATAGCCGCCAATAAGGACATTAACCAGCGGCTCACCCGTGAGAACGAATCGCTTCACATGCGAATTAACCAGCTTACCCGTCAGCTGGGATCTCAGCAGTCAACCAAGCCCTCGACCAGCTCGGTTGCCGAGAAGGGCAATATCTCGGAGAGCTCTCCACGCACTGCCAACGTGAAGCCAATGTCTGGTTCGGCGACGGTGCAACAATCGGCCACCGTTACCCCCTGGCGTGGAGGGGAGACTCCTTTGGCCAGCATACGACCCATTTCGGTGCAAAACAGCCGCACGGCCGCCATTCTGCCCACGAGTCAACAGCCCCCGGCAGGATCCAGTACGTCCAGCTCCTCATCATCCTCGTCTTCATCCACTTCCACAACATCCGCTGCTGCTAGCGGCGGCAGCTCGGCAGTAGCCCAAACCGCTTTGGTTCCACCACAGCAACAGGTTCACACCACTGGAAGTGCTGCCCTGGAGTCGATGGCCTCCTCCTCACCCACGTCCTCACATACCGATTACATGCCGTCCACTAGCTCTGCATCTGTTGCCGTCGCTGCTATTCCACCGATGGGTGCCTCATCTGCTGCCGAAAGTTCCCAGGAGGCGGAAAGTATCCAGCACCCGCAGCAGAACGATTCGCAGTTGTTTGTAGGAGGAGCCCAACAGCAAGTTGTTGCCCTTGTGTCGCCGCGCGTGGAAGGGTCATCTTCTTCATCCAGTTCTACGTCTGTTCCGACTGCCACTGCGCCCAATGTCCAGGATGGCGGAAGTCAGAGCCAGCAACCCAGCACTTCTGGCAGCAGTAGCAGCTCTTCCACAGTGGTGAGTAGCCATAGCAGGCACACCCCATCCAGCAGCAATGTGACAACCACCCAGGCTGGCTGCTCATCTCAAGGTATTAAGCGACCGCGCGACATTGAGGGTGACTCCTCCACCACCAACGAGGAGGGTGGTCCCGACAAAATGTCAAAAATGACTAAGAGACTTCGCGGCCCCATGCACAGCGGAGAGCTGTCCGCCGGCCACATTGGTGATTCCGGAATGGATGTCGATCAAATGCCAACCTCCTCGCAACGCGATCAGGAGGATGACATTCAAGTGGTTGACTCAGACGACGAAGAGGATGTTCTGGCCGATGCCGACGATGGTCCCATTGACGGAGGCGAAGCCGAACAGGAGGGTTACGAGGATTCGTATGAGCAGGACAACGAGATGGATGACAACGAAGGTGGTGACGATGACAACGATATGGCTGTGGATGCCCAAGACAACAACGAGGTTGACATTGAAGAAGTGCCGGAGCAGCACATGCAGACTCAGGAAGAGAGTCAATCGCTAGACAACCAGGCAATCGCAACCGCATCCGCTTCCACTCAGGAGAACAACCAGAGTCAGGCCATCACCAGTGGCAGTGGAGAGTCCTCGAACCCGGTGAGTCTGCCGCAAGCTGAGGCCTCCAACTGGAAGCAGGCAGCCGCCTCAACATCCACAGCAGCCGCCCGACGCAGCGAAAGGTAGGTTAAATATCTGTCTACGATGAGCTTTACTAATTGAATTAAATCCAACAGCTCAGTGGAGATCGTGAGTTCACCTCAAGTCTCGAATTTTAGTGAGCAGCCTGCCCGCTTGGAGACCGCTGAAGTCGATGGCACTGCCGAGGTGGCCGATGGTGCGGCCCATGAAAGCGCTGGACCCAGCGATACGGGAGCTGCCACAGCCAGTTCTCCACAAAAACAGAGCGAGGCAGGGGAGAGCAGCGGAAGCGACGCCCTCAAAGCGGCTGACGAGGGTGATCATGCTGGAGGAGCAGAAAACGTCAGCGAAGCGGATGAAGCATTCGCCGAGGAGACAATGGCTACTGGCCAAGGAGAAGACTCTCAGCCACTAGGAAATGATAGTAGGTTACAAAAAATAATATAAATGGAACGGAAAAGTAATCAATTCATCTTATCTAGATCCAAATGTGGGCACTAGCCAATCTGAGGTGTCCCACAACCAAGCCAATCTTGCCGAGGCCAACCCCACTGAGGACAACGAGGGAGCCGACGGCGTCTCATCCGAGGGGGAGAAGCAGGCGGTGGGTGTTGAGGTAAGACTCCTTCAGCAAAGTGTAATTTTAATATGTGGCAAGATAGCTTTGAAGAGAAGTGGCTTGGTAACAATAAAACCTTGCATAGAAATAAGTATGTTTAAAATGTGATTAATTCCCATGGGCTATGGCCCATAATTAGTTAAAATGGACATGGCCAGTTCGACTCAGCTATTGATCCTGATCACGAATATAAATACTTTATATGGTCGGAAACGCTTCCTTCTGCCTTTCATACTTTTATATTCATACCTTACATACTTTTCAACGAATCTAGTATATAAAATTAATTTTGGATTCAGTTATTTTAAATTTTGAAAATTTGCAGACCTAGCTGGGTATTTTGAAATTAAGTAAATATTTAATATCATAATTAAACCTATTTTTTTTTTATGTAATATTATTAATACAATTTATTACTTATTGTGGGTTCTGTTAGCCGGGTGTAACCTAGATTAATCACCAACCAACTTAATCCTAAATTAATGGCTGTCCCTTTCTTTTAAGGAGGAGGGTCGGGAGGCGGAGGCCACTTCGCCGTCGGAGAATACGCGATTTCGCACGCTGCGTAGTGCGGTGCCCACGCGACGAGGACATCGCGCCATGAGGGGAGGCAGCCCCAACAACCAAAACCGGCCGCAGCGGATCGTCTGGCAGCGGGACACGTCGCCAGGAAACATGCAGCAAAACCAGATGGCGGCCAACAATAATCGTTTTGCGCAACGGGCTCGCAGCCGGCGTCCTATTCGTCGTCCTTCCCCGAACAACTTCAACAGCGGAGGACGATTCCCCTAGGGCGAGGAGTTCGAGGGACCCCCAGACGAAAGTCCGCTGTAGGCTGACTATAATCATGGCGTTAACTGGGCTAGAAATAAGTCTCCTCGCATTTAATAACGATTAGTCTAAGTCCACAACTAAGCCACAACCAGTTTATTACTGAACATTCTACAGCTTGCGAGTACTGATTTTCTGCAGTTGCCAAGACGCTTCTTGTACATTAACTACTAATAAATATTAATAAACTATGTGTGTAATTTGGTCAATATTTGATGGTCCTATCTGGTCAAGCACTACAAACTGGTGTTTTCCCAGCACTCTGGACTCAGTGGCTTACTGAGACGGAACTACAAAGTGGTTTACTCCTTGCATAAGTTGTGGCTCAGTTTAGTAATGTTAAGAAATAATGTCCCCGCTTCAAACAATATTTTTGTCTTTAAAGTAATTTAAAGATGTTCCACTTCTGATATTCAAATATATGTAAAAGATAATTATTTATATTACTGTACTCAGCTATTCGATAATTAAATTCGATAATGTAGGATTTGAAATGGATAAAATATGGATTTGATGGAATTGCTACATACATTAGAATTAATGTGAAATATAGACCAACGATTGCTAATTACACTGCACTTTGATGGCAATGACCTTAATTGGCCTAAGCCACGCAAGCCGATTAATTATGCAGTACGCAGTGGAACATGAAACGTGATCTGAATTGAAGACTCAAACATAATTACCTGCTGTTGTAAGTCAGTTGGCCAGGCGGCTTATATTGAAATTGGCTTAGAAACCCCAAAAAGCCGAAAATGATCTACTCGGACAATTGCTGTTGCTGCGTGGAGCTCAAGTGCGGATGCATTCTAATAGCCATCGTTGAGGTGCTAATCCGTGGACTGGATCGATTCTTTGTTGATCGTGAGTGGAACTGACTATAGGAATTGAAATGATGCAACTGGTTTTCTTAGGTGACAGCCTGCTGGGACTTATTTCGCTCGTGGTGAGCGGCATCTACGTAATCTGCTGCATCTTCCTACTGCTCGGAGCAGTTCTGGTGGGGATCCAAGATATTTTGAATGGCAATATAAAACTGTCTAATTTCAGGGTCTGAGATATTTTATGTTGCCCTACCTCTCAGTTTCCTGCCTGCGGTTCTTCATTTTAGTTGCCGAGGGCGTGTTTGTGGCCACAGAAGGCATCATGAATGAATATCTGATCTTCGATATTCTCCAATCCCGTAAGTTGCAATCTGCAGTTTGGCCCGTTTCAACTTGGCCAATTCCTTTTCCAGTTCTAGGCTTGTACTTTTGGTTGGTGGTCTACTCCTATTATGATCGGTTAAAGGACGCATGAACTTGTATATTTTCGATTATTTTGTTAAATGCACTTGTTACCCATACAAATCAGGGACAACATTTTTTAAATTTATTAATAAATGTCAGAGAAATCCATGTTGTAATCCATTGTTTGATTGTGGTAGGTCTTGTCTTAGGTAACCAAATGAAAAATTAAATAATGTACTCGACGTTATTAAAAATCGACGTCAATAATAAATTGAGCAATGTAAATTATTGCTTTCCCAATTATCGGTACCCCAATATCTGTGTGGGCACCTCATTAGTATTCAATGAGTGCTTCGTGGTAAATAAAATAAATATCGAGTGCGACTTAATTTCACAGAGCGTTGAATATTGAAGTGCCATTTTTAAGATGCATGGATTGATGTTCGTATCCCAAGACTTCAGGATCCGAAACGAATGGAATGCTTATGACAATAACTCTTCAAGGTAGGAATATGTGTCATCAATATCCCAAGGAATTTAAGATCCGGCTGATTTCGCATTCTTTAAACTCTTTTTTTAATGGCAGCGATCATAAATAATATTTACATTCATGGGCTGTGGACCTAGACGACTCTACAAACTAGAACTGCTCGACAGTGCGGGGGGCAGGTGGTGCTCCGTACTCCTCGGAGGGAACGGACGGTGGTGGGCCGTACTGGGTGGCCGGCTTGGGCTGCTGCTGCTTGTACTTGATGAAGTACACCTCTGGCTTGCTGGGCTCTGTGGGCTCTGGAGCGGGCAGGATGACGGGCTGCTGCTCCTCGGGCTTCTTCACCAGAACATACACAAGAGTCTTGTGCTCATCCTGAACCGGGGGAGGGAGCACCTGGCGCACAGGGGTCGGCGGGTTGGGAGCCTTGATGAAGATGATCTTGTAGTGCTTCTTGGGAACGGCCGTCTGGATGGGCGATGAGGCCGGATAGAATTCTGGCTCCTCTGGCGGCACATGCACGTACACGTTCTTGGTCACGAGGGCCTCCGAGGCAGCTGGTGGTCCGTAGAAGGCGGCTGGTGGTCCGTAAGCGGGAAGAGGCTGTGCTTGCGGAGCCGGAGGACCGTATTCCTTTTGGGGAGCTGGAGGTGGTGGTGGTCCGTAGCGGGATCTAGGTGGTTCCGGACGCGCCACACTTATGGCCAGACTGGCGGCCAAGAGAAGAAGGATACACTGCGTCTGCATGCTGATGTCGATGGTTCGGCTGCGAATGAAGCTACTGCTGCAGGTCAATCGAGCGTTTTATATGAATCCGCCACCTCAGAAATGTGTAGGTCCCCCTCCCTTGCATAATGTTTCCAATGGCTTCCCAATTGCGTTACGCGGAGCTCTTCAATCCCCGCCAGCAATTCGCGATGCATACAAATTAGCTGGCGCATTGTGCCCATTTCGGTTTCGTTTTCGATGCCAGTGGACATGGATTCCGTTTCCGATTCGGATTCGAATCCAAAATTCGGCTGATGGAAACGAAACCGAAAACTGCACAGGCAAACAGATCGAAGGGAGGGGCCGGCCAGTCGTCGTCACGTTCTGTTTTTGGGTCTTCCCGGCCCCTTTTCGGCCAATATTTGCCAAAAGCACTTGCCTTAATGGCCGATTGCGATGCTCACTTGTAATTTATTATATAACTCGCACATTGCGTTGGTGGGCCAGGGACGATCAGTGGGTTCCATGATCTACACGAACTTATTTATGAGGCGCCAGCTTTTCAAGGGGTTACTAACCCGTAAACAAGAAGTATCCAAGTCGGAAATAATGGCAACGGTATTGATTTCGGGCATTATGAATGAATAGAATCAAAAGGCAATTTCGAGATATTTCCTCATTTTAAATATGGCATTTCCAAGTGATATCCGAGTAGTACAAGCACACAATGTCAATACTTACGCTCTTTTAGCTTACTATCCCCAAACTCGAAATGAAAGTCATAATGCACTGAAACCAAAGCGTCTGGAATCTCCGCAATTCTCTATCAATATGTTATGTCTACTACCTACATTTGGTTGTGTTTGATGATACCCATCCAGTACTCTTTCAGATAAGTAGCTTCAATAATTTGATTTCCCTTTTTTTAATTAGGCGGTGCTGGTTGTAAAAAATATCCCGTGGTTCTTTGACAATAGCTCGGCCTCTCCAATCAGTTGAAAGAGTTGAATAGTTAAAAATTGTAAAATGCTCAAAAAATGCTGTTTCTGCATTAAATTGCGCAAGGCCTGCTTCATTATAGCCGTCATGGACCTCATCTTTAATTTAGTGGTGCTCAACTTGGCGGGTCGTAAGTTCGGGGTTCACAGACTCGTTTCAAAGATCCCTCTCATGGTAATGCATCCCCCCTCATTCAGAGGAGTTCATCGCACACATTGAGCAGGCGGTGGCCATCTGCCATTGCATCGGTTGCACATTCCTGCTGGGCGGAGCTCTAATCGTAAGTGCAGCCACTGGGTGGCACCCCCTGCAGCCGATCCCATCTCGAAACTAAACCACCACAGAGATCTACTGTTCTGCTGATGTTCTTCCTCATCACCAGTCTGACCAACTGCATGATCCTGCTCGTGTACTGCATCTACATGCTGATTAAGGAGGAGCGGTACCGTGAAATAATTGTCCCAGGTTCTGCAATATATATATGTAAGTTGTTATTTTTGCGAGTTACTGCATTCTCCAAGAACACCACTTTCAGGCTGTGGCATCTACTTCTGGATTGTTGTCTACTCATATTATGCTGAGGTCAGAAATCCCCATGAGGTCGTGGAAGTTTAATTAGCTACACAGAAATATTAAAATGGCCTTCTGCTCTGGATTGTGTTATCCGTTTTTCCAGGTGCTGGTGATCAATGTTTGTTTGGTAAGCTCAAATGAAATTAGCAATTTAACTACCAAGAAAATATAATTTAATTAATATATATATTTTTTTCAAAGTCTTGGTATGTTTTTTGCGCTACCTTTCAATTTGCAGTCGCACTCTCTTCTTGAGAGTATAGATAGATAGATAGAGCACTGGTATAGATATGTATGTATATATATACGTAATACCTTTAAACGGAAATAGAATGTGAGATAAGTAGCAAGCGTTATATACCAAAACTGTAAATGCAGTTTGGCAAAGATTAAATATATGTAGGTGATATTACTTACAAAAAGTTATCATAGGCAATTGTATGCGTCGTTTTATTTTAGGCTGGACACAAAGAAACTTGGAATTATTTTAAAGTAATGTATTTATCCTTCATTAAGCGTTTTGCACATAATTTCCAAAACAAAAGGGTTCATCAAAATTGTTCGACTCCTCAGAAGGGTTTTGTTGACATCTAAAAGAACAGAGAAAGGCAGAAAGTATATTTAGTAGAAAGTATGTTAATGTATTCAAATAGGATATTACATTCTCTTGACCTCAGCCTTTACTTTCTTAAAGATTGACTGAAAGTCCATTGTAAGACCATATTTATCCATTTCCTTGCACAAGGTTTGTATGAAGACCGAACCCATTTTTTCATCGCGATAGCTCAAATACCCCTCGGAGGTGCTGTAACACTTTATATAGGGGTCGCAGTTCATTTTTTTCGCGTCAGGTACCAGTCCACCCTTGCAGGCTTGAACGATTAAAATTTTTGGCTTGCCAGTTAAGGTTGGATTTCTGAAGAGTGGATAAAGGACGTCATCGTCCAAGTGGTATTCCTTGCCGTCGCACGCGAAAATTTTATTTTTTAGCCAGCCATGGCTCAAGATACAGAGGACAAATCCAGCCTCCTGGTTGAATTGTTTTATAGACCCTTAAGAAGAAATTCGTTAGTAAGAATAATACCGTGTGCTCATATTTCTTACACTCATGAACTTTGAGTTTAACATTCGACAACGCTGGGTTAGAAATTACTTCAACCCTACAATTCAGGCTTTTAAATGTTTTCCGAAGAGCTTCAACATCCCTTGAGCTACCACTTCGATTCAATTTTGGATCAGAGAAATTCTCATGATTGAAAATGTACACCACTGGCGGCGTATGTTTTTTATTGAAATTAAAGCCATTGCCCTTGGGAAAATTCAATTATTAGCTCGAACTTTTATGGATTTTGTTCAATTAATACATACTGGTACTACGTTGCCGTCCTTGCGTTCATAAAGCCTTTCTATCTGTAGTAGTACATTTTAGATAAAGAATTTTGGGTCTACCATCTAGTAACAATACTTACTTTCTGATGTTCTGTTCTATCGGGAAGATACATGTTTCTTGTTCGCCGATCCAAAGTATACTGAGCAATACCCAATAGCCGGTATTATAGAAATGTAGATAGTGTGCAATCAGTCACTATCTGACCAATTTTAAAACAACCACAACATGCGTGAGTTAACGGGCTTGTAAGGAAGTCAAGAACCAGCGCGATAATGAAACGCTTATAATCAAATTTTATGTTTACAAAAGTTTAATTGTAAAAAATAACATTTTCAAGTAAATTAAAGTAAAGACCCTCGGTCTCCTTCTCAGTTTGTACAACTTAATCGTTAAGTGTGCAATAAAACTAAGTGGGCTAAATATTCAAGCCTATACTAATTCTAAGTTAAAGTAACTTTTTTATCTTCAATAGTCATTGTCATATATTATATACGTTTTTCTTTCAGATTACTCGCTGTTTACCAACTCGAACCATTGCCTCATGGCTTCGCTGAGCACCAGCGGCAGTTGGTTAAGGTCCCGCACTATCACATAGTAGGGAAATGGAAAACTGTCCAGGTAGGAATTAATGTTCACAGATCCATCAGCGTTCACCGCCACATGCTGTATGTCCAGAATGGAGTTCTAAAAGCACCCAGTGATTAGTTAAAGTCATTAAATGTTTTCGAAACCCCATTACCTTATTGTCCGGATTGTCGATAATGATGTATACAAGGAATATACGCTGGACCCGCGCCAACTTAATGGCGTTCTTTACGTTCTGTGCACCCTCGCTGAATATATTACGTCCATCGCTAAGAATGAGCAAGAGGTTTTCAAACAGACCATTGTCGCCCCCCAGGCCACTCTCTTCTGCATTTGCCGTGCGTATAAAATTCAGCAGCCCGGCGATCTTCGTCTTGTCTTGGGCGAAGTTCAGAGCATTTACCAAGCGGGGACCGTCAAACTGCTCCGTGTGATTTAGTATGATCTGCGGCGCCTCTCCAAAGGATACAATGCTAAGGCGCCCACTCTCTAGAAGGGTCAATGCCTGTGACACTAGGGAAATTGCCTCCAGAGTCAGCGTCTTGGAGTTGTTGTGGTGCATCGACTTGGAGTCATCAATGGCAATGGTGATCTTATAGTCACGCTGCGCAGGCTTTGTTCGGCGCAACCAGATCTTGTCTTTGCGGAACTGCGATGCTATGTATGGGATAATTTTCTTCATATTAATACGTCTTCCAGTGCGGTAGTCGCCCTTTAATCGTGTGCACTTGGTGGGCTCCAGGATAAGACGCAACTGTTCGCAAAGCTCGCGGGCATTCTGGGTCATTCTATTGGAGATGCCCTGCCATGTTTCGTAATCCTCGTGCTCCGGCTGTGCCTGTCAGTAACAAATAACTTAGTAAGTACGGTCAATATATAAAAGGTATGAAAGGTGCAACTTACCCCTCTGAATGTGGTCAACTGCTGTTGATACTGTTGCCTAAGCTCAATCTGTTCAGCTGAGCTCAGATCCTCCGCGTGCGAGCTCTTGTCCAGAAGGATTTCAGAACTGTTGAATCAGAAGAATATTATAAAAAACAAATTGGAAAAGTAGGATTATATCACTAACTTGCTATGCGCCGTAGTTTCCGAGCTTCGAGGAACTGTCATTGTCGGCACCACCTCCCCTTCTATCTCCATGCCCTCGGGAGTTTCCAGCCGCTCCTTAGACTTTTCTGTTTTAGAGGGTTTGTCTGACTTTTGCTCCGTCTTCTCGGCCCCCAATTGCTCGAGTTGGGCATCATCCTCCGGATCAACGGCTGGCTCTTCGGTCTCCATTAGCTCGTCAACATTTTCCGCCTCTATTTCCTCTTCGTTTGGTGGTTCATCCTCCTGATGCTGGATCTTTTTTGATTGTTCTTCGGTGGCATTATCCAGCGTGGTTTTGTCACTGTTTTTCGGCTCCTTTACATGCTGGTACTCCTCAGCCTCCGCCTGGTCCATGGGTTCCGGTTTCTCCTGCTCGGCATCGTCGGACTCCTTTGAGTCCTTTAGTTGATCGATGGTCTTAAGCTGTTTTAATTTGTTCTGCTCCGCCTCGCCTGCAAATGTATAGAGAGTATGGGAAACTCAGCGAATAGGCTATAAAATTGGCAATGACTACTTACCTAGGGATCGCTCTTCATTGGTTCTTCCCTGCTTGCGCTTCTCCTGCGTTTGCCTTTCGTTTTTACGTTCCTCCTGTGACACAGTTTCCTGAGTTTCCGCAACGCCCTGATGGCCGCCATCATCGGCCTGCCATATTGGTTAAATGAATTAGAAAATAAATATAAAATGCAATGAAAACTAAATCTTACGTCGTTTTCGGCCTGGCCGACTCCATCCTTCTCTTCACCAGTCTCTTGTTCATCAAGCTTCTGGTCTTGCTTAATATCCGGGTCCTGTGGCTGCTGCACCTGGTCGGCCGAACTGCTTTGGTCAGTCTCCGGCATGGACTGGACATTTTCCTCCTTACTGGCTTTATCTTTGGACTGTGAGTGCTCCTCTGGTTTGTCCTCGCGCTTCTCCTCTTCCTCCTTGGAATCCTCAGGAGTATCTTCGGTCTTTGAATCATCTTCGTCCTCTAGCTCGCCGCGTTTCTGTGTTTCGGCCTCATCTTTTTCATCTTCTGGAGTGGCTTCTTCGCCCTCACCATGATCTTCTTCAGCTGGTTTCGCTTCTGTACCCGTCTCATCTTCTTCAGAGTCGCTGCCGTCGCTTTGAGGTTCGCCTTCCTCGTTTGCATCAGGCTCGTCATCCCCGTCTGCCTGGGGCTCCTCAGCAGGTTGCATGTTTTCTTTCATGGCATCAATGTCAAAGGGATTTTCATCTGTGGGCTGCTCATCCTGCTCATCGTGTCCCTCGTCAACATTATTCATATCCCCCAAATCCATTTCCTCTGGCTCTGGCGGCTCCTCAAGCTCATTGTGCATTGCATTTGTTTGCTCCTCATCCACTTCGGGATCCTTCATATCGTCAATATCCTTGGCCTGCTCCTTGCGTTTGTCCTCTCCGCTGGGTTCATTGGTGGCATCCAAGCCGTCCTTTTCGTGCTCATCCTTGCCATCCTCTTTCGCTGCATCGTTCTTAGTATCCAGATCGTTGTGCGCATCTTTCTCATCCTTGCTTCCCTTGCCCTGATCTTCCTCGTTCATATCAGGTTCCTCTTCCTCCTCCGGCTTTTCTTCCTCGTCATCGCCCCAAATTTGATCGTCCAACTTTTCGGCACCTTCCTCCGTTTCGCCCATCTCCTTGTTTAGGTCCTCCTCTTCCTCGGACTCACCGCTGTCATCCTCCTCGGGTTTCTCCACATCCTGCATCTTGGCATCAAAATCGTCACTCATCTCAATGCCTTTCTCTTCCTTGCAGTCTGGCTCCTGTTTGTCGCCCTCGTCCTTCCGATCCTCTGGTCGCTTTGCATCGTCAAGTTGATCCTCCGATTCAATTTTGTCTGATGCGTCGTTCTCACCGGTTCCATCCTCCAGACCGAAGCCCTCACCGTTCTTGGATTCCTGCTTCGACTGTCCGTCCTCATCTTGCATGAGATCCGGAGGTACACAGAAGCCCTTACTGCCAATTTCCACGAAAACGGTCAGCACTATGGACAGCATCTTGGCGGAAACCTTATGGGTGGCCAGTTGTTGGAGGAGCAAATAATCCGCGAGTAATTGGTACTGCTCCAAAATAGGCAAGAGACCGATCGCTCGTCTTACGCACAACAACTTATCCTGGCCTTCGAAACTGGAGTGCTTTAGTACCAGGAGCACGTTGGACAGCTTGCCGAGCACACGTGGCAGGCTTAGCTGTTGCCAATCCAGAGTCAGTTCCCCAGTGAGGCACTTCTTCAGATGCTGTTCCTGCAGTGCCTCCTTGGACTCTTGATCCTGTTCTTTTGCGTCGCCATTTTTGGCACCTTCTTCAGTTATAACGTGATGCTTGTAAATCTTTTGCAGGGACATTAGCACACTGTGGGCAATGTTGGCCAACTCTGTGTCCACGTTGGCCAGATCTATGGTCTCTGGGGTGATTTCGGTGTGGTTTTTCAATCGCACGCTATCCAAAAGCTCAACAATTGGTTGCGACAACGGCAAATAATCGTTATGTCCTGTTCTGAGTATTTCTAGGGTCTTCTTTATATTCTCTAGGATTTCCGCGTAGCTCTTCTGGTAATAATCACACTTTTCGTTAGATAGGTACTCCAGATTAGCGTTGTTCAGCTCGTTTAGCAATTCTTGGCTGCTGCTCAGGATCTGCATACTTAGACTCTGGAGATCCCTTTGGGCCAAGGGAATTGTCCGCACCAGTAAGCGGTTTTCCGATTTTTCATTGAAGGAGCCTGGAGCACAACTTAACAGCAGTTTCCACTGCTTCAGGACGTAGTGAATCTGACGAAGATTTTGCTTTATTTCCATTGCTACATCTGCACTCTTTACGAAATTGAGAGTCGCTGGATTCATGTCGGCCTGGGGAATAATTTCTGCCAATTTACGCAAGCTGTCCAGCGAATTTCTCAGCTCATGAAGCTCTTTGGTGGATCCAGAAAGCTGCTCCCGCTGCTGTTGCACTAATAGGAACAAGTCCACAGCAAAGCCCTTGATGCGTTCGATATTAGGAGGTCCCAGTTCGGACAACGGAGTCAGCATAATGTTTTGCAGGAGCTTCAGCTTGAACACACTCTTCATGTAGTACAAGTCCAGGTGCTCATCCAGCTGCTGGGCAGTGGGGTGGAGTCGCGGCAACATGGATCGAATGGAATAGGGAGGAAGTTGGAAGTCCTCAAACTCGTTGCGCAAAGAAAGCTCCAAAAGACCAGTCTTATAGCTGGCTCCCAGCCGATGAAGCATCTTAAAGAGATCCGTTAGAGCCTTGCGTTTTTGCTGAAGGATCTGCTTGGCCTCCTGCTTCTGTTGAGGTCTCTCCTTGGAACGATCAACGTTCAAGGAACGTAAATGTTCACATCGCTCCAACTGACTGGCCAGCAAGTCATCCAACTCTGTGATCAACTCGCCGTAGGGAACCTGTCCTAACGTTTCCTTAACCACATGACGTGCAGTTCGGAAGTGCTTGTCCAAGCGTTGGAGCAGTGT